AAACTTGATGGAGATTGTGACGTTTTGCTGCTGGTAAAATATGAACCTGTGTGACCGTGATCTGATGATAATCTGACGTCACTACGACATTTTAAACAGAATCCATCAGAGGTAGCGGCCATCTTGTTACATCTAGTACAGACTGGAGAGGAATCTTCTGAAATGAAATAAAACAAAAGATTTAAATTAGACAAATATAGAGAGATACGAAAAGATAAATTAAACGTCATTTCGCACACACGTTAATTATGTTTGAAACTATCGTATGGTATTTGCCATTTTTTATACTGGGCAGAGGGTGATACTAAAGGTAAAGAATCCAACAAATTCTTCTCGAACCCGGAAATTGTGGTTGAGAGTGTGTCCGTGCCGCTCGACTCAAGATGGTCATTCTCGGTCTATGCTCCCAAACAATGCGTTCAGAATTCAGACCGATGCCTTTTGTAAGAAATATACATACCTTCGTGAATTTTCATGTGGGTTTTGAGATTACATGCCAGAGAGAAACTCTTATTACAGGTCAAACATTGATGTGGTCTGTCACCTAAAAATAGATATATTTTAATATAGCGACAGGGAAACATGGATCAAATATTAAACAAATAATACAGTCTTTAGTAAAATCAATGAATAGAATTGGAAACGACATGGAATCTTGTCACCTCCCCCACCGCTGTTCTACAATAAATTCGCAATCTTGATTTTATATTTTAATAAATTCGGCAAGGGAAATGTAAAATATTTTCCAATCCTATAGGAATGAAAAACAAGCTAATCGGCTGGATCGGTCATATACTAACATACATTTATGATCACGTACATAATTGAAGACAGGCGGCTTTTTTCCAAGGCAGCATCATGGAAAGGCCGGTAGAAAAACAAAATTCTAGTCCTAAATACATTGGTTTGTATTGATATAAAGTACACATATTATAAATACACTAGGTTTGTATTGATATAAAGTACACATATTATAAATACACTAGGTTTGTATTGATATAAAGTACACATATTATACATTCGGTTTGTATTGATATAAAGTACACATATTATACATTCGGTTTGTTTGGATATTAAATATTATAAACACATTATAATCATACCTTAATGAAGAACGAGATAAACTAAATATATTATAAACATACCTGAATGAAGAACGAGGTGATTTTTCAAATTGGTTTGTTTACTGAAACCTCGATTACAAATCTGACATTTGAAAGGCCAGGATCCATTATGAACATACATGTGACTTTTTAAATCTCCAGGAGTAGGGAAGGATTTAGAACACTCCGTACATTTATGTGGCTTATCCTGGAAAAGGTGTAAAATTAAGCACATGTGTAAATGAGCTTAGAATAATCGACAGACTGATTTAAATTTTCAGTTTAAAAATCTAAAAAAAAAACCAACTAATCGACGAATTTCAAGATTTTTAAACATAACATATCTTGAACATTTTCTTTGTATAGAGAAAACACATAAAATTTGAATTACAAATTTACAAAAGCTTTGACTTTTCGAACAATATTATATTCGTAGAACTTTACGAAACACAATAAACTAGGTAGTTGTTAACATGTAGTTGGTATAGATAAAATACATATAAAATTTTAATTTCGAATTTCCAAAATTATGGAATGTAAGAAGCTTTAACATTCAAAATAATATTAATGTGGTAAAACTTTACGAAAAACCTAATTATTAATAAAAGAGAACATTATTGTATTTACCTTGTTGTGTGTCATACCTAATTATTAATAAAGTAATTATTAAAAAAACGAGAAGAGTATTTATTTACCTTGTTGTGTGTCATACGATGATAATACAGATTAGAACTAGCTGTAAACTTTTTACCACAAATATTACAAATATGTGGTTTTTCTCCAGAATGGATACGACGATGAGTGTTGAGTGAACTGGATGTCGAGAATGCTTTATTACATGTTTCACAAACATGTGGTTTTTCTCCTGGAAACAGAAAAAAATCACAAATGTCAATTAAAATATGGTAAATTACAAAATTCGCCTCGTTTTATAATTCTATCTGTATCTGAAGAAATAAATCAGAAACGTAAATTAATACCGCTGTAGTAAAAACTTCAAACAACCCAATCTGATTAAAACAGAGATCCTATTTCGTTTCGTTTTTTATAGTTTAAAATTTCGTTTTACTTGTCTTTACTACACTAGAATCTGGAAGAGTTGCTATATAACCGACGTTCTGGTTGCAGTGAGGGATTAGCCAATGAAACGGTCTTTTACGGTGAGTTCTTGGCGTGCGATGCACGGAACTGTGGGTAAACCACTAGAAACGTCAACGCTGATTGATTAACAAATGTCTGACGTCATAGGGTCAAAAGCCGCAGGTGCTACCCCTGACACGACCTTCCATTACAACCGATCAGATCTTCATGTAGGGTAGGCCGTCGAAATTATAAAAAACGAAAAGAAGCGAAATATAGATCTGTATTTTGGTCAGATTGCTCGCAAGCCTTCCTTTGTATACCTCACATGATGTAATTGGTGGTGTTTGTATCGCACAAATTATATCACAAAATGTCATTAAATAAAATGGAGGAATATTCATGGAAAAGAAACGATGCACTTTATGGAGGCAAGGCGTTAGTCAGAAAATAAAATAATCCGATAACGCTAGGGAAATAAACGACTACTCATAGAAAAGAATAGAAGTAGGAAGCCAGTCTAACAATAACTAAAGGCATGGATGAAGTCTGACAATAAAACTATGGACCGTATATAAATATACACGGTCCATGATAAAACTAAAGTGTAACCTGATCACACTGATTGTTACTAATCTGAGTTAATCTGGTTTAATTTATCACCTGTTGATTATAAAACAAGAGATGGATTGTTGAAGACCAGATTGCAATTAGCTTGAGGTAAAACTAATTAATTCTTTTACAAATTGATTCTGTTAATTTTAACACGACTTGCTATTATACAGATTAACGGAATTAATAACGACTACTGATTTGTTTTGATGAGAGAAGTCCAAGATGTAAAAATCAGAGATTTGATCAAAGACAGGTGAGATATTACACAGTTACAGTGGACAGGTAAAACTGCTGCTTTAGGGGGAAGACTATTATATCAGACGAAAGTATATATATGAATTTAAAGAAACGGTGTACAGAGCTTCTAAGTAATTTTTAATCTTTAAAACATTAGGATACGTCACGAAAGCTAGATGACAAAGCTTTCAAACGTTGTTTAGAACTTATTGGGAATTTGTAATCTCCCCAAAGTTTTTAAACATTTGTGACTCTGTGAAATTGTTATCATCTAGATGCCTAGTATTTTTTCATCGTTACCCGTTACGACTATTTATAGTATATTTTATTACCTGTATGAGTTCTCATATGACGTTTTAATAAAGATGGACGATCAAACTTCTTCTTACATACGTCACATGGCAACCATGTTCTCTCTCGTGATCTTTTGGCGGGAATAGTTTTATATTCTGTTATTGGAGAAGGTTCCCTGGTTGATGGAGAATCCTGAATTTAAATCAAATATTAAATTACAACAATTGTATTTAGTGGCGAATATCATGTAGGCCTACCATCATATAGGACGATCAAATACGAAATCTCTCAATACAAATACGTAATACGTTGTCTTCAATTTTCTTCATATTCAACATATGTTTTGTGTGAACATTCTATGGTGATTTTTAACAAATCGAAGCTGGATTCGAATAATCCAAAATTCTTAATGCTCAATTGCACAATAAAATGAATCGGAAACCTAAAATATTATAGTTGCTAATCATACTCACAGAAAAATTCCCAGAATCATCAGAACCGGAAGTGATACCATTCCGAGATATACTGGTTGCTATGGGTAATATGGGAGATGGATAATCTGTGCTTGTAGAAACCAGTTCTGAAGGAGAAATCAAAAATACAAATAAACGTGCAAATAAATACAAAGAATTAGATATGAATATGGATAAGTGAATTTATTAAAGTATTAATTCTTGTTATTAGCTCTATACTGACTTCGTTAACCCGGTTGGTGTAGAGAAGTAGGACGTTAAACCCCAGTTCATTCATTTATAAGCTATAAAATCTTACCCGGTGTTTTTCTCTCCTTTTCTAAAACATGCTGATGAACTTTTTCCTCTTCAACCAGACGTTCATCTTTTAATGTTTGAAAATACACAACAATTTCTTCATTTGGTTGAACATCTTTTATCAACTGGAAAACTATCTGTCCCTTTAATTTGATACCAATAACATTAACCTCTTCCAGTTTACTCGATGATTTTATAAACCGGATCCAGTTACAATGACGTACTTCACGATTATCTACTGTCAATATTTCATCATAACAACCAAACTGATGACGTATCTGTAATTGATGGAAAGAAAGTGAACATTACTATTTATGCTTAGTAGTAGGTTTTATTACATGAGCGCGGGAATTTATCAGGACAGCCAGACTCAAGGATTCATCATAAATACATCCTGTCATGCAGACATTTTAATATTAATATATAAATCAAGTCAGCACGTGGGAGGAGTTGTTACATAATTGATTGTGATCATGATCGACACGTGCACGTAATGAAATTGATCGTTATATATTGATTATCATAGGCACGTGCCATCACTTAGGTGCACCATTCCATAAAAAAACGGCTGTAACAGAATTTAGTATATAAAGTTTATTTCCCATCGCTTATTTTGTCTACTAGGTCTACTCGGCCAGAATAGTTTACTTGTTGTAACTTATTTGATGTTTATATTGTGAACACATTTTCAAATATGTTTAACTAAAATATATTCTATGTTACCAAATTATTTGTGTTTTAATACTGTGAAGATTTTTAATTAATGTATACATAATTATCCAATATAAAATGATATAAGTCATTTGATGTGAATCAACCTTTTCATAGGAAAATTCATCTAGATTTGGTCTCAAAGGTTTTCCTAATACACTTTTATCGTTGGACGATTACCGACGTTTCCCTATTTAATCACAAGATCTACATTTTCTTGATTAAATCAAAAGATGTATTAGAATAATTGATTTGACTGTAGACATGTTCCCAGGATAGACGACTGTTTCTCCTGTTAAAGATGTGTTAAAATTATATAAACAGATTAAAGATTAAGATTAAGGTGAAGAAGATGTCTTCAGGCTAATCTTAGTATCAAGTGATGGTGTCATATAATTTCTATACAAGTGTTAAAGAGATTTTGTTTTTGATTTTGTAAGCTCGTAATGACAAGAGGTTTCAGGGTCATGCTGTGTGCCAATTGTAAAAGAGATATCATGATTTAAAAGGGAATTGTCTCTTGGTCTATATCCGGTATTATACTTGGTAATCCCATGATTAACAGGGATTATAACTGAGAAACCCCCATCTGAATCAGGATAATCCGCTCCTTTACTGTAACAGATATTGACATGTCACTATCTAGACTTTTGTACCGAATGTGTACAGAATTTGTATCACTTAGTAAGTTTAATTTTATGAGTTTAGTAGGTGTAATTGCATATGTATATGCATGTATCAAATATAACAAGTTTAATTGCATGAGTATATATTAAATATAACACGTTTAACTGCATGGGTATATATATCAAATATAACACGTTTAATTGCCTGGGTATATTATATCAAATATAACACGTTTAACTGCATGGGTATATATCAAATATAACACGTTTAATTGCATGGGTATATTATATCAAATATAACACGTTTAATTACATGGGTATATTATATCAAATATAATTGTCCAGTTTTATTACTTTTAAACTGTAAACAATGTTTTCCATTCAATTGTCTTTATATATTATGTATATTTTAAAACGAAATGTCAAATTCGAATCTAAAATTAGATGTTGACAGCATCAACAAATAAAATGACCTGTAACAAAATTTGAAATCTTACTCTGGCGTAACGCAAGGTTGTACATTGAAGCCAATTCTCTTTTAAATTTTTCAAAACAATATTGCAGAATTATGTATCCGATGATTTAGAGTCTATTCCAGTATGAATTTTCATGTTTATATTTCTAATATATAACATATTTTGTTGTGTTTTTAATAGTCTCCTTTTTGTCTATAAATAATTAATACTTTCCCAAGATATATTTTCATTTTCGATATGCATCTTCGATGTTATAATTTTTATTTAACTTTGTAAATAATGTTGGATACTTACATTGTCAGATTTTAACATGGAGAATATTTCTAATTTTTCATATTTAATTTCACCTTCATCAGGATGTAAAGTTGTTCCAGTTGGTAAATTACAATTACTCCAAACAGCTACACACATTTCTAGAAGATTAGTTGGATCAGGATGAAGAGTTAAAACAAGACTCAACTGTTTTGGTATTAAAATACAGCTATCCATAATATTGATATAAAGATATAGGTTATTATAATAATCATAAAGTCGATCAGTTGACAGAAACAACAACTACAGATCTTCTTGCTAGACAGTGAAATCATACAACACTGGTTTTTATTGACCTTCATTCCATATTTTATATCATTCTACACAATTTGTCATCTGTGTGTGAAATCTGTGATCTATGTTACGTAACCATCTATATCTAAATACGACAGTTTGATTGGTTTGGAGAGCAACATAATCCCGCCCACAGCACGTGTATATTTGTAACAAGGGGTTTTATTGGTCAGTGTAATAAACTGACAAGTTAAAAAAGCTTGTTGTCTGCGATATCACCTCGGTGGAAGCGGACGTAAAATACAACTAACACTAACTAACTAACTCTGATTTACGATTGTCTGCGATATCACCTCGGTGGAAGCGGACGTAAAATACAACTAACCCATCATCTGATTTACGAGATGTTTTATGATGTCTATATTGTTTTATCTTTTATCAATTGAAGAACTCTGGGAACAGTTTGAAATGAATACCAAGATGCATTATGTAAGACCTAAGTCTGTCTATTGTAGATCTTTCTTTTGGCATCAAATGTTATATAAATTATTTATTTAAACACGATGGCCATCTAAATAATTCCGTTTAAAATGCATAATCGAGACTTTGTTTATTTTCGTAATAAAATTATCGTAGCTATGATAATCGAGACTACGCTATTCTTCAAACAGTTACAACTTCGCTCAGAATAAAATATTTTGACTTAGAATGTCACTAAATCCATTTTTTATCATTTATTTCTTAGCTATTATAGCTAAGGATAAAGTAATTTGACTGAAACTTTCAATACACCAATTTTTCATCATTTATTTCTTAGCTATTATAGCTGAATATAAAGTAATTTGACTGAAAATTTCAATACACCAATTTTTCATTATATATTTTATTGTCATCTCGTTATCTAAATCTTTCATAATGCATCTTTAACTATATATGATACGATATTTACCTGTTATTAATCGTGTTAATTAGTACAGGTATGATAATTATCACTGATATAATTACTACCTGATTTAAAGAAAGGAACTATTGTTACCTGTAAAGACAGGTAAATATTCCCACCTGATTACATTATACCTGTAAGTGAACTATAGAATACAATATTTTACCACCAACACCGCATAATCAGTGTCACTTGATGTCCCATAGCGCACGATAATATTAATCAAATACATTCACCTTTTCAGAATTCAACAAGCAATACACCGCCTCCCACTGACAGACACATATAGTTTCCTATAGAGCTTGATAAGATTAAATATATGAACTCACCCAACAGCATTCAACAAGCAGTACCCCACCTCACACCCATATTTAAATATTCCAGCTAAGTGACATGGTTTCCCTTCCTGAATAATGATGTCAATTAAATTAAATAAACCACCACACCCATCTCAGTAGGCATTATATCAATTAATGTAAACCCCATACTGTGTTCTGTTATGTAGAAAGACAATAATGACCCCTTGTGAAGGACATATATTAGTGGGATATACTATTGATATTTGTACTGTTGGACCCACCTTAGGATCCAAATATGAAAAAACTTAAGGACACAACGAATCACAACCAATTTCTAGTTTAGTGAAATGATTATATAAAATAATAAGGAACGACCGTATTATTAAACAGAAGCGCACCTCCTGTTTATTTCAGCAGAATGTTTTATTGGACAATTGCCTTAAAGGGCTGTGATATATCTGGAATTAGTTAAAACACTATGATTTATCTTTGCAGGGACAGAGACATGAAATGGAGTTTAACGTTCTACTGTTCTGCTCCGACTGGGCTAATGAAGACGGGAGGGATAGAGACACAATGTCATTCATATAAATAACGATGTTTCAGATGAGAAATCGTCAATTGTAATTTGTAAGAATTTAAGCAATTACAATTTGGAAAAAAAAACCCACAACATTTTCAAACAAAAACTCCCGAAAAGTATAGCCACGTCAACTTTTAAAATTTGAGACTGGTATATCATAATATCTCCTTGATCTAAGTCTGGTCGTCATTTTACCAGATTGGGTTACGTAGAAACACAGATAACATGGTAGCCATATTGTTAACCTGTGTTCAAACTGTTATCAAAACGAAACATTAAAAATGAGATAATTATAAATAAAAAGTCCCGAGGGTAATATGGTGCCTTTCGATCGCCATTTTAGTCCAGATTGAGTTATTTGTAAAGATATAATTATTATCACTTTGTAAGACAGATAGTGATAACAAGGTAGCCATATTGTTAACCTGTGTTCAAACTGTTAAAAACTCGTAACATCAAAGATTTTATGATAATACATATAGGTATATACTTTAAAATGTGTTAGACGCGAAACATCAAAGATTTTATAATTATTGGTAAAAAGTCCCGAGAGTGCTGTGGTGCCTTTTGATATAATTGGACACGTGTATTATACAATGTGTTACACCGTGTTCACACAATATATCACACATATAGAGTTAACTAGGTAGCCATTTTATACCACGTGTTTTCTATTATATCTTGTATTGTCTCGTCTACAATATTATATACAATATTACACACCCTGTATTATACCACGTGTTTTATATACAATATTATACCCCATGTAGTAGTGTTTTATATACAATATTATACACCATGTAATAGTGTTTTTATACAATATTATACCCCATGTAGTAGTGTTTTATATACAATATTATACACCATGTAATAGTGTTTTTATACAATATTATACCCCATGTAGTAGTGTTTATATACAATATTATTCCTCGTGTAGCAGTGTATTATATACAATATTATACCCCATGTAGTAGTATATTATATACAATATTATACCCCATGTAGTAGTGTTTTATATACAATATTATACACCATGTAATAGTGTTTTATACAATATTATACCCCATGTAGTAGTGTTTATATACAATATTATACCCCATGTAGTAGTGTTTATATACAATATTATACCTCATGTAGTAGTGTTTATATACAATATTATACCTCATGTAGTAGTCTTTATATACAATATTATTCCTCATGTAGTAGTGTATTATATACAATATTATACCCCATGTAGTAGCGTTTATATACAATATTATACACAATGTAGTAGCGTTTATATACAATAGTATACACCATGTAATGATATACAATATTATACCTCATGTACTATAGCTATACAATATTACACACCATGTTGTATTATTTTATATATTGTTTTATATGGAAAATTGTGTTCTGTAGAACAGGTTTGTCTATAGTCCAGTTTTTCCAGACATGCTTAGTTACAATATAACTACCATTATGCTGATTTTTCTAACATTATGGGGATCACGGTGGCTAAGTGGGTAAGACGCTGGCTCGCTAGTCTGAAGGTCATGTGTTCGATCGCTGCATTGGCCGAGAAAGTTCATCCAGATTATCCGGCGTGCTACCCCCTTGTCAGAGATGCAGGATGGAGGGCCTGGCAAGAACAGCGGTCTAGTCGTTCGAATGGGACGAAAGACAGAGTTCCCGTGTACACATTGGTGTGCACGTAAAAGATCCCTTGACAGTTGGAATCCGATATAAGAGTAGGCCGTATTGCCGCTGTCCGGGCAAAATTTCCCTCATAGCACACTGTATGGCGTATGCCCGTCTTCATTAGCCCAGTTCGGAGCAGAACAATAGGACGTTAAACCCCATTTCATTTCATTTCATTTTCTAACATTATGTTGATACATGTATTTCTAACCTTTTAACGGAATCTTTAATATTTATTTTTGTAATATTTGAAGGTTCATGTAATGTTAATATTTTACATGTATCTAGGTAATAATGGCACAGTTGCAATTGGAAAATATTTTACAATTTTCAAATGATACATTTTAGTATAAATTTAGATGCTGAAGTTCAATACGAGATTTTATGGTACAAAAATAAAATATTGTCCACAGGAAGATTGCGATATTTCTATATTTCTATAATATAAATCTGACTGCTGTTTACCAGATATAACACATGGTAACACAGATAGTGTTAATACGATAGTTGTATTGAAAACTTGTGATAAAAACGTTAAAAAACCCCGCAACATCAAGATTTCATAATTATAGCTAAAAATTCCCAAAAGGGTTGTTGTGCCTTTCGGTCGCCTTTTTTCAGATTGAGCTATTTGTAAAGATTTGATAATTAGCACAATGTAAAACAGTTCGTGTTAGCAAGGTAGCCATGTTGTAAACTTGTGGGCATGCTGTTATAAACGCAAAACATCAAAGATAATTATAGGTAAATTGTGGGTTGTTTTCATGCATTGCCACAGATAGTGCTAATTAGCCATATTGTTTTTATATGGTCTGGCTGTAACGACGGATTCACGGGGGTTTAGAATTTTTTGTTCACAGGTTCGTTCCCGGTATTGGGTGAGGAAGTTTCTTAGGATTTCTAAGAGTAGCCCCCATTTTCAGTTGTGCAGGACGGGGTGGGAGTGGGGTAAAGAAAGTTTCTAATCGAATATTTAGGTCCCACTTTTGCATTTGCTGTCCAGGAAACATTAGTGGACTAATAGTTTTAAAGGTCTCTAAATACGTATAAACCCTATGTTGAAGAAGCCTGACGTAATCTGGTGTCTGGATACAAAGACGAAAATACAACAATTATTATAAAAGTTTATTATAAAATATATTCTCTTATATGTAACAATATAATTTAAAAACCACACAAATTCCACACAATCAAATATATATATAGTTACGCTATCATATTAAAGCCTGAAGAGGTTCCGATGGAACTGAAAGCGCTAGCTTGAAATATGTAGATGTAGTTTGTTTTCTTTTCCAACATCTTATTTATTTATATATCACCTGAGAGCTGTTTCCAGCTATTTTCTTGTTAAGATTTGATTTCTTTGATAATATTATGGTCTCACTCTCTGATGTCTGTGCCCGAAAAACGGAAATACATTGGCCGAAAAAATGGACGGTTCACCGAATCTGGTGGAGGCGCGGGGGCTGCCCCGGTCCGTACGCCTATGACTGGAACCACTGGTGGCAAAAAAAACCCCACTATAATAGTTGCAGTTTATCACTTCCTTTAGGAAGTAATAAGATTCCCGCGATTAAACACAGTAGGATGACGTCATACGATTATGTGATATCCTTGATTAAATACAATAAGCAAGGAAATATAAGAAGATGTAAGATGTCCACAAAATATGATAAGAAACTAAGTATTGTCTAGTAGTAAAACCACAGATTAATAACCTGACGTCATCAAACCACGTGTGTTTCTAGATAACAACATGGCTGACATGAAGTTATTAGATTGAGGTGAAGGTGACATGGTAGAAAATGTAGTCTGACTGTTAACAGGCGTACTACAATACACAGGATAGGGTGAATGGCTGCCATTATAAAAATTATTACATTCCAATCTCTGTCTTTTAAAACTTCTCTCTGTTATTTTACTAATACTGAAATCTGATGGTGATCGAAGTGACGTAAAACCTGACGGAGACTGTGACGTTACATCTGATGAAAATTGTGATGACGTAAAACTTGATGGAGATTGTGACGTTTTGCTGCTGGTAAAATATGAACCTGTGTGACCGTGATCTGATGATAATCTGACGTCACTACGACATTTTAAACAGAATCCATCAGAGGTAGCGGCCATCTTGTTACATCTAGTACAGACTTGAGAGGAATCTTCTGAAATGAAATAAAACAAAAGATTTAAATTAGACAAATATAGAGAGATACGAAAAGATAAATTAAACGTCATTTCGCACACACGTTAATTATGTTTGAAACTATCGTATGGTATTTGCCATTTTTATACTGGGCAGAGGGTGATACTAAAGGTAAAGAATCCAACAAATTCTTCTCGAACCCGGAAATTGTGGTTGAGAGTGTGTCCGTGCCGCTCGACTCAAGATGGTCATTCTCGGTCTATGCTCCCAAACAATGCGTTCAGAATTCAGACCGAAGCTTTTGTAAGAAATATACATACCTTCGTGAATTTTCATGTGAGTTTTGAGATTACATGCCAGAGAGAAACTCTTATTACAGGTCAAACATTGATGTGGTCTGTCACCTTAAAATAGATATATTTTAATATAGCGACAGGGAAACATGGATCAAATATTAAACAAATAATACAGTCATTAGTAAAATCAATGAATAGAATTGGAAACGACATAGAATCTTATCACCTCCCTCACCGCTGTTCTACAATAAATTCGCAATCTTTATTTTATATTTTAATAAATTCGGCAAGGGAAATGTAAAATATTTTCCAATCCTATAGGAATGAAAAACAAGCTAATCGGCTGGATCGGTCATATACTAACATACATTTATGATCACGTACATAATTGAAGACAGGCGGCTTTTTCCAAGGCAGCATCATGGAAAGGCCGGTAGTATTGATATAAAGTACACATATTATAAATACACTAGGTTTGTATTGATATAAAGTACACATATTATAAATACACTAGGTTTGTATTGATATAAAGTACACATATTATACATTCGGTTTGTATTGATATATATACACATATTATACATTCGGTTTGTTTGGATATTAAATATTATAAACACATTATAATCATACCTTAATGAAGAACGAGATAAACTAAATATATTATAAACATACCTGAATGAAGAACGAGGTGATTTTTCAAATTGGTTTGTTTACTGAAACCTCGATTACAAATCTGACATTTGAAAGGCCAGGATCCATTATGAACATACATGTGACTTTTTAAATCTCCAGGAGTAGGGAAAGATTTAGAACACTCCGTACATTTATGTGGCTTATCCTGGAAAAGGTGTAAAATTAAGCACATGTGTAAATGAGCTTAGAATAATCGACAGACTGATTTAAATTTTCATTTTAAAAATCTAAAAAAAACCCCAACTAATCGACGAATTTCAAGATTTTTAAACATAACATATCTTGAACATTTTCTTTGTATAGAGAAAACACATAAAATTTGAATTACAAATTTACAAAAGCTTTGACTTTTCGAACAATATTATATTCGTAGAACTTTACGAAACACAATAAACTAGGTAGTTGTTAACATGTACTTGGTATAGATAAAATACATATAAAATTTTAATTTCGAATTTCCAAAATGATGGAATGTAAGAAGCTTTAACATTCCAAACAATATTAATGTGGTAAAACTTTACGAAAAACCTAATTATTAATAAAAGAGAACATTATTGTATTTACCTTGTTGTGTGTCATACCTAATTATTAATAAAGTAATTATTAAAAAAACGAGAAGAGTATTCATTTACCTTGTTGTGTGTCATACGATGATAATACAGATTAGAACTAGCTGTAAACTTTTTACCACAAATATTACAAATATGTGGTTTTTCTCCAGAATGGATACGACGATGAGTGTTGAGTGAACTGGATGTCGAGAATGCTTTATTACATGTTTCACAAACATGTGGTTTTTCTCCTGGAAACAGAAACAAAATCACAAATGTCAATTAAAATATGGTAAATTACAAAATTCGCCGCGTTTTATAATTCTATCTGTATCTGAAGAAATAAATCAGAAACGTAAATTAATACCGCTGTAGTAAAAACTTCAAACAACCCAATCTAATTAAAACAGAGATCCTATTTCGTTTCGTTTTTTATAGTTTAAAATTTCGTTTTACTTGTCTTTACTACACTAGAATCTGGAAGAGTTGCTATATAACCGACGTTCTGGTTGCAGTGAGGGATTAGCCAATGAAACGGTCTTTTACGGTGAGTTCTTGGCGTGCGATGCACGGAACTGTGGGTAAACCACTAGAAACGTCAACGCTGATTGATTAACCAATGTCTGACGTCATAGGGTCAAAAGCCGCAGGTGCTACCCCTGACACGACCTTCCATTACAACCGATCAGATCTTCATGTAGGGTAGGCCATCGAAATTATAAAAAACGAAAAGAAGCGAAATATAGATCTGTATTTTGGTCAGATAGCTCACAAGCCTTCCTTTGTATACCTCCAACATGATGTAATTGGTGGTGTTTGTATCGCACGAATTATATCACAAAATGTCATTAATTAAAATGGAGGAATATTCATGGAAAAGAAAAGATGCACTTTATGGAGGCAAGGCGTTAGTCAGAAAATAAAATAATCCGATAACGCTAGGGAAATAAACGACTACTCATAGAAAAGAATAGAAGTAGGAAACCAGTCTAACAATATAACTAAAGGCATGGATGAAGTCTGACAATAAAACTATGGACCGTATATAAATATACACGGTCCATGATAAAACTAATGTGTAACCTGATCACACTGATTGTTACTAATCTGAGTTAATCTGGTTTAATTTATCACCCGTTGATTATAAAACAATTGATTCTGTTAATTTTAGCACGACTTGGTGTTATACAGATTGACGGAATTGATTATGACTACTGATTTTATTTGATGAGAGAAGTCCAAGAATTGATCAAAGACAGGTGAGATATTACACCTTTACAATCGACAGGTAAAACTACTGCTTTAGGGTAGAAGATTATATTAGAATAGGTGACGAAACCTTTAAGCAATCGTGTTCTGGGTGTGTATGGTATTTGTAATCTGCTGTATATCTTTAAAACATCCACGTCTCTGTGAAATCGTTATTCATCAGCAACTATTCATCGTTACCTGTTAAAACTATTTATAGTATATTTTATTACCTGTATGAGTTCTCATGTGACGTTTTAATAAAGATGGACGATCAAACTTCTTCTTACATACGTCACATGGTAACCATGTTCTCTCACGTGATCTTTTGGCGGGAATAGTTTTATATTCTGTTATTGGAGAAGGTTCCCTGTTTGATGGAGAATCCTGAATTTAAATCAAATATCAAATTACAACAATTGTATTTAGTGGCGAATATCATGTAGGCCTACCATCATATAGGACGATCAAATACGAAATCTCTCTATACAAATGTAATACGTTGTCTTCAATTTTCTTCATGTTCCACATATGTTTTGTGTGAACATTCTATGGTGATTTTTAACAAATTGAAGCTGGATTCGAATAATCCAAAATTCTTAATGCTCAATTGCACAATAAAATGAATCGGAAACCTAAAATATTATAGTTGCTAATCATACTCACAGAAAAATTCCCAGAATCATCAGAACCGGAAGTGATACCATTCCGAGATATACTGGTTGCTATGGGTAATATGGGAGATGGATAATCTGTGCTTGTAGAAACCAGTTCTGAAGGAGAAATCAAAAATACAAATAAACGTGAAAATAAATACAAAGAATTAGATATGAATATGGATAAGTGAATTTATTAAAGTATTAATTCTTGTTATTAGCTCTATACTGACTTCGTTTATAACCCGGTTGGTGTAGAGAAGTAGGACGTTAAACCCCAGTTCATTCATTTATAAGCTATAAAATCTTACCCGGTGTTTTTCTCTCCTTTTCTAAAACATGCTGATGAACTTTTTCCTCTTCAACCAGACGTTCATCTTTTAATGTTTGAAAATACACAACAATTTCTTCATTTGGTTGAACATCTTTTATCAACTGGAAAACTATTTCTCCCTTTAATTTGATACCAATAACATTAACCTCTTCCAGTTTACTCGATGATTTTATAAACCGGATCCAGTTACAATGACGTACTTCACGATTATCTACTGTCAATATTTCATCATAACAACCAAACTGATGACGTATCTGTAATTGATGGAAAGAAAGTGAACATTACTATTTATGCTTAGTAGTAGGTTTTATTACATGAGCGCGGGAATTTATCAGGACAGCCAGACTCAAGGATTCATCATAAATACATCCTGTCATGCAGACATTTTAATATTAATATATAAATCAAGTCAGCACGTGGGAGGAGTTGTTACATAATTGATTGTGATCATGATCGACACGTGCACGTAATGAAATTGATCGTTATATATTGATTATCATAGGCACGTGCCATCACTTAGGTGCACCATTCCATAAAAAAACGGCTGTAACAGAATTTAGTATATAAAGTTTATTTCCCATCGCTTATTTTGTCTACTAGGTCTACTCGGCCAGAATAGTTTACTTGTTGTAACTTATTTGATGTTTATATTGTGAACACATTTTCAAATATGTTTAACTAAAATATATTCTATGTTACCAAATTATTTGTGTTTTAATACTGTGAAGATTTTTAATTAATGTATACATAATTATCCAATATAAAATGATATAAGTCATTTGATGTGAATCAACCTTTTCATAGGAAAATTCATCTAGATTTGGTCTCAAAGGTTTTCCTAATACACTTTTATCGTTGGACGATTACCGACGTTTCCCTATTTAATCACAAGATCTACATTTTCTTGATTAAATCAAAAGATGTATTAGAATAATTGATTTGACTGTAGACATGTTCCCAGGATAGACGACTGTTTCTCCTGTTAAAGATGTGTTAAAATTATATAAACAGATTAAAGATTAAGATTAAGGTGAAGAAGATGTCTTCAGGCTAATCTTAGTATCAAGTGATGGTGTCATATAATTTCTATACAAGTGTTAAAGAGATTTTGTTTTTGATTTTGTAAGCTCGTAATGACAAGAGGTTTCAGGGTCATGCTGTGTGCCAATTGTAAAAGAGATATCATGATTTAAAAGGGAATTGTCTCTTGGTCTATATCCGGTATTATACTTGGTAATCCAATGATTAACAGGGATTATAACTGAGAAACCCCCATCTGAATCAGGATAATCCGCTCCTTTACTGTAACAGATATTGACATGTCACTATCTAGACTTTTGTACCGAATGTGTACAGAATTTGTATCACTTAGTAAGTTTAATTTTATGAGTTTAGTAGGTGTAATTGCATATGTATATGCATGTATCAAATATAACAAGTTTAATTGCATGAGTATATATTAAATATAACACGTTTAACTGCATGGGTATATATATCAAATATAACACGTTTAATTGCCTGGGTATATTATATCAAATATAACACGTTTAACTGCATGGGTATATATCAAATATAACACGTTTAATTGCATGGGTATATTATATCAAATATAACACGTTTAATTACATGGGTATATTATATCAAATATAATTGTCCAGTTTTATTACTTTTAAACTGTAAACAATGTTTTCCATTCAATTGTCTTTATATATTATGTATATTTTAAAACGAAATGTCAAATTCGAATCTAAAATTAGATGTTGACAGCATCAACAAATAAAATGACCTGTAACAAAATTTGAAATCTTACTCTGGCGTAACGCAAGGTTGTACATTGAAGCCAATTCTCTTTTAAATTTTTCAAAACAATATTGCAGAATTATGTATCCGATGATTTAGAGTCTATTCCAGTATGAATTTTCATGTTTATATTTCTAATATATAACATATTTTGTTGTGTTTCTAATAGTCTCCTTTTTGTCTATAAATAATTAATACTTTCCCAAGATATATTTTCATTTTCGATATGCATCTTCGATGTTATAATTTTTATTTAACTTTGTAAATAATGTTGGATACTTACATTGTCAGATTTTAACATGGAGAATATTTCTAATTTTTCATATTTAATTTCACCTTCATCAGGATGTAAAGTTGTTCCAGTTGGTAAATTACAATTACTCCAAACAGCTACACACATTTCTAGAAGATTAGTTGGATCAGGATGAAGAGTTAAAACAAGACTCAACTGTTTTGGTATTAAAATACAGCTATCCATAATATTGATATAAAGATATAGGTTATTATAATAATCATAAAGTCGATCAGTTGACAGAAACAACAACTACAGATCTTCTTGCTAGACAGTGAAATCATACAACACTGGTTTTTATTGACCTTCATTCCATATTTTATATCATTCTACACAATTTGTCATCTGTGTGTGAAATCTGTGATCTATGTTACGTAACCATCTATATCTAAATACGACAGTTTGATTGGTTTGGAGAGCAACATAATCCCGCCCACAGCACGTGTATATTTGTAACAAGGGGTTTTATTGGTCAGTGTAATAAACTGACAAGTTAAAAAAGCTTGTTGTCTGCGATATCACCTCGGTGGAAGCGGACGTAAAATACAACTAACACTAACTAACTAACTCTGATTTACGATTGTCTGCGATATCACCTCGGTGGAAGCGGACGTAAAATACAACTAACCCATCATCTGATTTACGAGATGTTTTATGATGTCTATATTGTTTTATCTTTTATCAATTGAAGAACTCTGGGAACAGTTTGAAATGAATACCAAGATACATTATGTAAGACCTAAGTCTGTCTATTGTAGATCTTTCTTTTGGCATCAAATGTTATATAAATTATTTATTTAAACACGATGGCCATCTAAATAATTCCGTTTAAAATGCATAATCGAGACTTTGTTTATTATCGTAATAAAATTATCGTAGCTATGATAATCGAGACTACGCTATTCTTCAAACAGTTACAACTTCGCTCAGAATAAAATATTTTGACTTAGAATTTCACTAAATCCATTTTTCATCATTTATTTCTTAGCTATTATAGCTCAGTATAAAGTAATTTGACTGAAACTTTCAATACACCAATTTTTCATCATTTATTTCTTAGCTATTATAGCTGAATATAAAGTAATTTGACTGAAAATTTCAATACACCAATTTTTCATTATATATTTTATTGTCATCTCGTTATCTAAATCTTTCATAATGCATCTTTAACTATATATGATACGATATTTACCTGTTATTAATCGTGTTAATTAGTACAGGTATGATAATTAATTATCACTGATATAATTACTACCCGATTTAAAGAAAGAAACTATTGTTACCTGTAAAGACAGGTAAATATTCCCACCTGATTACATTATACCTGTAAGTGAACTATAGAATACAATATTTTACCACCAACACCGCATAATCAGTGTCACTTGATGTCCCATAGCGCACGATAATATTAATCAAATACATTCACACTTTCAGAATTCAACAAGCAATACACCGCCTCCCACTGACAGACACATATAGTTTCCTATAGAGCTTGATAAGATTAAATATATGAACTCACCTAACAGCATTCAACAAGCAATACCCCATCTCACACCCATATTTAAATATTCCGATTAAGTGACATGGTTTCCCTTCCTGAATAATCATGTCAATTAAATTAAATAAACCACACCACCCGTCTCAGTAGACATTATATCAATTAATGTAAACCCATACTGTGTTCTGTTATGTAGAAAGACAATAATGATCCCTTGTGAAGGACATATATTAGTGGTATATACTATTGTTATTTGTCGTATTTTCGATTGTACGCAGCAGGACCCACCTTAGGATCCAAATATGAAAAAACCTGAGGGCACAACGAATCACAACCAATTTCTAGTTTAGTGAAATGATAATATAAAATAATAAGGAACGACCGTATTATTAAACAGAAGCGCACCTCCTGTTTACTTCTGCAGGATGTTTTATTGGACAATTGCCTTAAAGGCTGTGATATATCCGGAATTAGTTAAAACACTAGCTTATTATATTGATATCATTACTTATAGAATTTGTTAATTGAATCTAGGAACAATATTATAACTGAACCTTGTACTATTATGAATTTCAGAACCTTTCAATTGTAACATGCTTAATTTTAGAATATATTGTTCATATAAAAATGAATAGGAATATTTTAGTTTTATAAATTTCTCAAATTAGGATACAGAATATATAATGTATACACTATGATTTATCTTTGCAAGGACAGAGACATGAAATGGAGTTTAACGTCCTACTGTTCTGCTTCGACTGGGCTAATGAAGACGGGAGGGGTAGAGACACAATGTCATTCCTATAAATAACGGTGTTTCAGATGAGAAATCGTCAATTGTAATTTGTAAGAATTTAAGCAATTACAATTTGGAAAAAAAAAACCACAACATTTTCAAACAAAAACTCCCGAAAAGTATAGCCACGTCAACTTTTAAAATTTGAGACTGGTATATCATAATACCTCCTTGATCTAAGTCTGGTCGTCATTTTACCAGAATGGGTTACGTAGAAACACAGATAACATGGTAGCCATATTGTTAACCTGTGTTCAAACTGTTATCAAAACGAAACATTAAAAATGAGATAATTATAAATAAAAAGTCCCGAGGGTAATATGGTGCCTTTCGATCGCCATTTTAGTCCAGATTGAGTTATTTGTAAAGATATAATTATTATCACTTTGTAAGACAGATAGTGATAACAAGGTAGCCATATTGTTAACCTGTGTTCAAACTGTTAAAAACTCGTAACATCAAAGATTTTATGATAATACATATAGGTATATACTTTAAAATGTGTTAGACGCGAAACATCAAAGAATTTATAATTATTGGTAAAAAGTCCCGAGAGTGCTGTGGTGCCTTTTGATATAATTGGACACGTGTATTATACAATGTGTTACACCGTGTTCACACAATATATCACACATATAGAGTTAACTAGGTAGCCATTTTATACCACGTGTTTTCTATTATATCTTGTATTGTCTCGTCTACAATATTATATACAATATTACACACCCTGTATTATACCACGTGTTTTTATATACAATATTATACCCCATGTAGTAGTGTTTTATATACAATATTATACACCATGTAATAGTGTTTTTATACAATATTATACCCCATGTAGTAGTGTTTATATACAATATTATTCCTCGTGTAGTAGTGTATTATATACAATATTATACCCCATGTAGTAGTATATTATATACAATATTATACCCCATGTAGTAGTGTTTTATATACAATATTATACACCATGTAATAGTGTTTTTATACAATATTATACCCCATGTAGTAGTGTTTATATACAATATTATACCCCATGTAGTAGTGTTTATATACAATATTATACCTCATGTAGTAGTGTTTATATACAATATTATACCTCATGTAGTAGTCTTTATATACAATATTATTCCTCATGTAGTAGTGTATTATATACAATATTATACCCCATGTAGTAGCGTTTATATACAATATTATACACAATGTAGTAGCGTTTATATACAATAGTATACACCATGTAATGATATACAATATTATACCTCATGTACTATAGTTATACAATATTACACACCATGTTGTATTATTTTATATATTGTTTTATATGGAAAATTGTGTTCTGTAGAACAGGTTTGTCTATAGTCCAGTTTTTCCAGACATGCTTAGTTACAATATAACTACCATTATGCTGATTTTTCTAACATTATGGGGATCACGGTGGCTAAGTGGGTAAGACGCTGGCTCGCTAGCCTGGAGGTCATGTGTTCGATCCCTGCATTGGCCGAGAAAGTTCATCCAGATTATCCGGCGTGCTACCCCCTTGTCAGAGATGCAGGACGGAGGGCCTGGCAAGAACAGCGGTCTAGTCGTTCGAATGGGACGAAAGACAGAGTTCCCGTGTACACATTGGTGTGCACGTAAAAGATCCCTTGACAGTTGGAATCCGATATAAGAGTAGGCCGTATTGCCGCTGTCCGGGCAAAATTTCCCTCATAGCACACTGTATGGCGTATGCCCGTCTTCATTAGCCCAGTTCGGAGCAGAACAATAGGACGTTAAACCCCATTTCATTTCATTTCATTTTCTAACATTATGTTGATACATGTATTTCTAACCTTTTAACGGAATCTTTAATATTTATTTTTGTAATATTTGAAGGTTCATGTAATGTTAATATTTTACATGTATCTAGGTAATAATGGCACAGTTGCAATTGGAAAATATTTTACAATTTTCAAATGATACATTTTAGTATAAATTTAGATGCTGAAGTTCAATACGAGATTTTATGGTACAAAAATAAAATATTGTCCACAGGAAGATTGCGATATTTCTATATTTCTATAATATAAATCTGACTGCTGTTTACCAGATATAACACATGGTAACACAGATAGTGTTATACGATAGTTGTATTGAAAACCTGTGATAAAAACGTTAAAAAACCCCGCAACATCAAGATTTCATAATTATAGCTAAAAATTCCCAATAGTGTTGTTGTGCCTTTCGATCGCCGTTTTCCAGATTGAGCTATTTGTAAAGATTTGATAATTAGCACGATGTAAAACAGTAAGTGTTAGCAAGGTAGCCATGTTGTAAACTTGTGGGCATGCTGTTATAAACGCAAAACATCAAAGATAATTATAGGTAAATTGTGGGTTGTTTTCATGCATTGCCACAGATAGTGCTAATTAGCCATATTGTTTTTATATGGTCTGGCTGTAACGACGGATTCACGGGGGTTTAGAATTTTTTGTTCACAGGTTCGTTCCCGGTATTGGGTGAGGAAGTTTCTTAGGATTTCTAAGAGTAGCCCCCATTTTCAGTTGTGCAGGACGGGGTGGGAGTGGGGTAAAGAAAGTTTCTAATCGAATATTTAGGTCCCACTTTTGCATTTGCTGTCCAGGAAACATTAGTGGACTAATAGTTTTAAAGGTCTCTAAATACGTATAAACCCTATGTTGAAGAAGCCTGACGTAATCTGGTGTCTGGATACAAAGACGAAAATACAACAATTATTATAAAAGTTTATTATAAAATATATTCTCTTATATGTAACAATATAATTTAAAAACCACACAAATTCCACACAATCAAATATATATATAGTTACGCTATCATATTAAAGCCTGAAGAGGTTCCGATGGAACTGAAAGCGCTAGCTTGAAATATGTAGATGTAGTTTGTTTTCTTTTCCAACATCTTATTTATTTATATATCACCTGAGAGCTGTTTCCAGCTATTTTCTTGTTAAGATGTGATTTCTTTGATAATATTATGGTCTCACTCTCTGATGTCTGTGCCCGAAAAACGGAAATACATTGGCCGAAAAAATGGACGGTTCACCGAATCTGGTGGAGGCGCGGGGGCTGCCCCGGCCCGTACGCCTATGACTGGAACCACAGGTGGTAAAAAAAAAACCCACTATAATAGTTGCAGTTTATCACTTCCTTTAGGAAGTAATAAGATTCCCGCGATTAAACACAGTAGGATGACGTCATACGATTATGTGATATCCTTGATTAAATACAATAAGCAAGGAAATATAAGAAGATGTAAGATGTCCACAAAATATGATAAGAAACTAAGTATTGTCTAGTAGTAAAACCACAGATTAATAACCTGACGTCATCAAACCACGTGTGTTTCTAGATAACAACATGGCTGACATGAAGTTATTAGATTGAGGTGAAGGTGACATGGTAGAAAATGAAGTCTGACTGTTAACAGGCGTACTACAATACACAGGATAGGGTGAATGGCTGCCATTATAAAAATTATTACATTCCAATCTCTGTCTTTTAAAACTTCTCTCTGTTATTTTACTAATACTGAAATCTGATGGTGATCGAAGTGACGTAAAACCTGACGGAGACTGTGACGTTACATCTGATGAAAATTGTGATGACGTAAAACTTGATGGAGATTGTGACGTTTTGCTGCTGGTAAAATATGAACCTGTGTGACCGTGATCTGATGATAATCTGACGTCACTACGACATTTTAAACAGAATCCATCAGAGGTAGCGGCCATCTTGTTACATCTAGTACAGACTGGAGAGGAATCTTCTGAAATGAAATAAAACAAAAGATTTAAATTAGACAAATATAGAGAGATACGAAAAGATAAATTAAACGTCATTTCGCACACACGTTAATTATGTTTGAAACTATCGTATGGTATTTGTGGTTGAGAGTGTGTCCGTGCCGCTCTACTCAAGATGGTCATTCTCGGTCTATGCTCCCAAACAATGCGTTCAGAATTCAGACCGATGCCTTTTGTAACAAATATACATACCATCGTGTATTTTCATATGAGTTTTGAGATTACATGCCAGAGAGAAACTCTTATTACAGGTCAAACATTGATGTGGTCTGTCACCTAAAAATAGATTTATTTTAATATAGCGACAGGGAAACATGGATCAAATATTAAACAAATAATACAGTCATTAGTAAAATCAATGAATAGAATTGGAAACGACATGGAACCTTGTCACCTCCCCCACCGCTGTTCTACAATAAATTCGCAATCTTGATTTTATATTTTAATAAATTCGGCAAGGGAAATGTAAAATATTTTCCAATCCTATAGGAATGAAAAACAAGCTAATCGGCTGGATCGGTCATATACTAACATACATTTATGATCACGTACATAATTGAAGACAGGCGGCTTTTTCCAAGGCAGCATCATGGAAAGGCCGGTAGTATTGATATAAAGTACACATATTATAAATACACTAGGTTTGTATTGATATAAAGTACACATATTATACATTCGGTTTGTATTGATATAAAGTACACATATTATACATTCGGTTTGTTTGGATATTAAATATTATAAACACATTATAATCATACCTTAATGAAGAACGAGATAAACTAAATATATTATAAACATACCTGAATGAAGAACGAGGTGATTTTTCAAATTGGTTTGTTTACTGAAACCTCGATTACAAATCTGACATTTGAAAGGCCAGGATCCATTATGAACATACATGTGACTTTTTAAATCTCCAGGAGTAGGGAAGGATTTAGAACACTCCGTACATTTATGTGGCTTATCCTGGAAAAGGTGTAAAATTAAGCACAGGTGTAAATGAGCTTAGAATAATCGACAGACTGATTTAAATTTTCATTTTAAAAATCTAAAAAAAACCCCAACTAATCGACGAATTTCAAGATTTTTAAACATAACATATCTTGAACATTTTCTTTGTATAGAGAAAACACATAAAATTTGAATTACAAATTTACAAAAGCTTTGACTTTTCGAACAATATTATATTCGTAGAACTTTACTAAACACAATAAACTAGGTAGTTGTTAACATGTACTTGGTATAGATAAAATACATATAAAATTTTAATTTCGAATTTCCAAAATGATGGAATGTAAGAAGCTTTAACATTCCAAACAATATTAATGTGGTAAAACTTTACGAAAAACCTAATTATTAATAAAAGAGAACATTATTGTATTTACCTTGTTGTGTGTCATACCTAATTATTAATAAAGTAATTATTAAAAAAACGAGAAGAGTATTCATTTACCTTGTTGTGTGTCATACGATGATAATACAGATTAGAACTAGCTGTAAACTTTTTACCACAAATATTACAAATATGTGGTTTTTCTCCAGAATGGATACGACGATGAGTGTTGAGTGAACTGGATGTCGAGAATGCTTTATTACATGTTTCACAAACATGTGGTTTTTCTCCTGGAAACAGAAACAAAATCACAAATGTCAATTAAAATATGGTAAATTACAAAATTCGCCTCGTTTTATAATTGTATCTGTATGTGAATTATAACGTAAACTTTATTGATCAATGTAGTACCCTGACAAAATTCTACCTTTTCCTAATTCTATCATAACGATCCTGCATAGTCCCGACAACAGATCATTTGCTTGATAAAGACGAGCGTATCCTCGTCGAAACGTCGCTTAGTATTAAACTCAGTAATTGTGTATCCATAAAAGAGTTCCCTGTGTTCATATGAAATATACTTTTTATTCAAATTAGATATAGCAGTCTGTACAAAAAGGTTATTGGCGATAATTTCACATTTCTTTGATTGGTGCTCCACACCCTTTCCCTCTAAAATGGCACTGTTTGTATTAAACAAATTATATCATAAATGTTTAGAGTTTTTAAATAAATTAGTTAAAATGTTGTAGTGGAATAAAATTAAACATTACTAATACTACTCCTGGAACAGAAAAGAAGCAGTAGAATGTCTTGCATGGTGGAATGGCACAAGTCAGAAAATAAAATGAAAGACTACCGATGGTGTAAGTTTGACAATAAATCTAAAGGCATGGAAGAAGTCTGACAATAAAACTGAAATCATGGATCAATTCTGACAATAAATCTAAAGGCATGGATGAAGTCTGACAATAAAACTAAAGTGTAAAACCTGATCACACTGATTGTTACTAATCTGAGTTAATCTGGTTTAATTTATCACCTGTTGATTATAAAACAAGAGATGGATTGTTGAAGACCAGATTGTAATTAGCTTCAGGTAAACTATTTAATTCTTTTACAAATTAATTCTGTTAATTATAACACGACTTGGTGTTATACAGATTGACGGAATTAATTATGACTACTGATTTTATTTGATGAGAGAAGTCCAAGATGTAAAGATCATAGATTTGATCAAAGACAGGTGAGATATTACACCTTTACAATCGACAGGTAAAATTACTGCTTTAGGGTAGACTACATATCAGACGAGAGTATATATGAATGTAAAGAAACGGTGTACAGAGCTTTTTAGGAATTTGTAATCTTTAAAACATTAGGACAGGCCTACGTCACGAAAGCTAGATGACAAAACTTTCAAACGAAAGTGACGTTGTTTAGAACTTATTGGGAACTTGTAATCTCCCCAAATTTTTTAAACATTTGTGACTCTCTGAAATTGTTATTCATCTGGAAGGCTTGTAACTATTCATCGTTACCCGTTACCTGTTAAAACTATTTATAGTATCATGTATTACCTGTATGAGTTCTCATGTGACGTTTTAATAAAGATGGACGATCAAACTTCTTCTTACATACGTCACATGGTAACCATGTTCTCTCACGTGATCTTTTGGCGGGAATAGTTTTATATTCTGTTATTGGAGAAGGTTCCCTGGTTGATGGAGAATCCTGAATTCAAATCAAATATCAAATTACAACAATTGTATTTAGTTGAGAGTATCATATACACCATTATATAGGACAATCAAAATACGAAATGTCTAAACCACAAAAAAATGGTCATTTAATAATAATAAGATGTCTTCAATTTACTTTTTGCTCCACATTTGTTTTTTCTGTGAAATGATACGACCCAATTAAATAGACCAAATCTAGATTCGAATAATTTAATATTCTTAACGCTAAATTGATAAATAAAAAACAATCGGATCATGAAAGAATAAAATCCTAGTTGCGGATCATACTTACAGAAAAATTCCCAGAATCATCAGAACAGAAAGTGATACCATTCCGAGATATACTGGTTGCTATGGGTAATATTGGAGATGGGTAATCTATGCTTGTAGAAACCAGTTCTAAAAGGAAAATCAAAAATACAAATAAACGTAAAAATAAATACAAAGAATTAAATATGGATATGGTTAAGAGAATTCATCAACATATTCATTCTTTTACAGGGCTGCGTAATTGGCTCTCTATATACTGACTTAGTGATTCTGGTTTGTGCTAACATGTAAGACTTTAAAGCCCATCTCTCTCTCTCTCTCTCTCTCTCTCTCTCTCTCTCTCAGGTTTGTGCTAAACATGTAAGACGTTAAACTCCATTTCATTCATTCATTAACTACAAAATGTTACCTGGTGTTTTTCTTTTTTTTTCTAAAACATGTTGATGAACTTTTTCCTCTTCAACCAGACGTTCATCTTTTAATGTTTGAAAATACACAACAATTTCTTCATTTGGTTGAACATCTTTTATCAACTCAAAAACTATTTCTCCCTTTAATTTGATACCAATAACATTAACCTCTTCCAGTTTACTCGATGATTTTATAAACCGGATCCAGTTACAATGACGTACTTCACGATTATCTATTGTCAATATTTCATCATAACAACCAAACTGATGACGTATCTGTAATTGATGGAAAGAAAGTGAATATTACTATGTGCAGTGTATTAATATTGTAAGTTTTATTACAGGAACGCGGGAATTTATCAGGACAGCATGTAGCCATTTTAATATTAATATATAAATCAAGTCAGCACGTGGGAGGAGTTGTTACATAATTGATATTGTGATCATGATCGACACGTGGACGTAATAAATCGATCGGGTATTGATTATCAAAGGCACGTGCCATCCCTGAAGAATGTCTATAACTGTATTTAAATTTCTTAGACCACTTTACTAATGTATTATTTTTTTCATGAATTGTTTCGGTTATTTCCTAATGATAAAATAGTTTTTTGACTTTTGGACAACATAGCAAAAACATATTTCGTATTTGTAATTTTTTTTTATTTTATACATTTCTATTTAATTATCCTATTTAATATTAATTTATTTCATATAAATTTTAAGGCAAAACTTGTAGAATTAAATCAAAAGATGAGTTAGAGTAATTGATTTGACTGTAGACATGTTCCCAGGATAGACGACTGTTTCTCCTGTTAAACATGTGTTAAAATTATATAAACAGATTAAAGATTAAGATTAAGGTGAAGAAGATGTCTTCAGGCTAATCTTAGTATCAAGTGATGGTGTCATATAATTTCTATACAAGTGTTAAAGAGATTTTGTTTTTGATCTTGTAAGCTCGTAATGGCAAGAGGTTTTAAGCATCATGCTGTGTGCCGATTGTAAAAACGTTTTCTAGATTTAAAGGTGAATTGTGTTTTGGTCTATAGATGATGTTTTTCGGTATTTTACTTGGTAATCCCATGATTAACAGAGATTATAAATTAAAGTGCTAAACCCCCACCAGAATCAGGATAATCATTTCTTCACTGTAACTGATATTGACATATAATTCGTGCAGAACATTTATCATCTAATGTTTAATTGCATGTGTATTCATCAAATATAAATTTTAAGTCCAGTTATAATTAATTTTAAACTGTAGTCTGTGTGTTCCATTCGTTTTTTTTTTTTTTAAAATGGTATGCATATTTTAACAATGTTTGTACATATTGGTGTTGAAAACTCACATTTTTAAAATCTTTCTATAGGGTAACGCAGGGTTGTATATTGAAACCAATTTTCTTTTAAATGTTTCAAAATAACATTGCATATTAAATAATGTCGACTGATCGTCAATGTGTTATTTTTTAATTTTCATTAATTTAGGGCTGATTCCAGTTTGAAGTTCCATGTATATATTTTATTCAATAGCCCACCAATGCCTTCATATAGTGATTTTTGAACTTTAGTATAGTCTCTTTTAGATTAATCAAAGGCGGTTCCACAACTTTGCTGTCCATAAATAATTTTCGATTCCCCAGTTGTACTTGACAAGGAGTAGGCACGCCTGTTCAACCTCGTGAGTTTTCTCCAGGTCCTCCTGTTTGTGTCCACTGTTAAAGATCCCTACACACAAGCGAATTATTGAAATAAAATTAAACCATATGTTAGTCCCGGTTTGTGTCTAGTGGACGTTAAACCCCATTTCTCTCTCTCTCTCTCCCATAAATAATGTGTACTTTCAACAGATATATTTACATTATCGATATCCATCATCGAAGTTATAATGTTTTGTTTTTAATCTTGTATTTTGTAGTGGTTTAAGAATCACCCAAGGTCTTCGTATAGTTTCTTTTTGTCCATAAATAATTGGTACTTTCCCAAGATATATGTTCATTTTCGATATTTATCTTGAATGTTATAATGTTTATCTAATGCTAGATTCCCACTATCCCGATTCGTGTTACTGTGAAGTAATCGTGGCGATCCTATCAGGTCTTATATATTGAGGTCAGTCGTGGCAATCGTGTTGATCGTATCGAAACGTATCCGAACGTATCTGCACGTACCAGATCGTGGGTTCAATAGGGACAATTGTATCGTAACGCATCCCACGACAGTAGGAACAAAATATAACTTTGAAAATCATGTTGCATACTTACATTGTCAGATTTTAACATGGAGAAAGTTTCTAATTTCTCATATTTAATTTCACCTTCATCAGGATGTAAAGTTGTTCCAGTTGGTAAATTACAATTACTCCAAACAGCTACACACATTTCTAGATTTGTTGGATCAGGATGAAGAGTTAAAACAAGACTCAACTGTTTTGGTATTAAAATACAGCTATCCATAATATTGATATAAAGATATAGGTTATTATGATAATCATAAAGTCGATCAGATGACAGAAACAATAACTACAGATCTTCTTGCTAGACAGTGAAATCATACAACACTGATTTTTATTGACCTTCATTCCATTTTTTATATCATTCTACACAATTTGTCATATTTGTGTGAAATCTGTGATCTATGTTACGTAACCATCTACATGTATATCTAAATACGACAGTTTGATTGGTTTAGAGAGCAACATAATCCCGCCCACAGCACGTGTATATTTGTAACAAGGATTTTTATTGGTCAGTGTAATAAACTGACAAGTTAAAAAAGTTTGTCATCCACTGATTTACGAGATGTTTTATGATGTCGGTATTGTTTTATCTTTTATCTATTGAAGTGTTGTTCAGAACTAAGAACTAAGAAAGAAATAGAATCATCAATTTTTGACAACCTGAACGATTCTGTGAAATTATTATTAAATCAAATTGTAGTTATCCATATATTGCTGTTGTGTAATGAAGAATTGATACGCATTTTTTTTTGTAAACAAAATATCCTCATTCAGTAAACATGTTGGGTAAAATCGTTTATCTATCCATGTATATCTATTGACACAACAGAGAGAGAGAGAGAGAAATGGGGTTTAACGTCCACTCGACACAAACTAGGTCATTTCGGGACTAACATATGGTTTAATTTTATTTCAATAATTCGCTTGCGCGTAGGGGTCTTTAGCAGTCGGAGGAAACCGGAGGACCCGGAGAAAACCCACGAGGTAGGACAGGCGACCCTACTCCTTGCCACGTACAACCGGGGATTCGAAACCACGCCAGTCGACTCAATGACAGACTTTATGATACAGCGCGGGCACGCTAACCATTCAGCCATCCAACCCCCCGACACAACAAAGGTAAAGGAGAAACATATGAACCTTTACAAGACCAAAACTCAGCAAATAACCCCGCAAACTATTTGATAGACAAACCTGCAATTTGAGCACCCACATAACACAAATCAATTATTCTAACTCATCTTATGATTTAATGTTAAGAGAGAGAGAGAGAGAGAGAGAGAGAGAGAGAAAGAGAGAGAGAGAGAGTTTAACGTCCACTCGGTACAAACTAGATCATTTCGAGACTAACATATCGTTCAATTTTATTTCAATAATTCATTTGCCTGTGGAGGTCTTTTACACTGGGGGAAGGGGTGGAAAACCGGGGGGAACCCACGAGGTTAGACAGGCGACCCTATTTCTAGCCAGGCACAAGATGGGAATCAAATTTGAGAAGGGTGACACGTTTAATGAGAGTTGTTATACAACAAATAGGCAAATAAACGACCCCGAGTCATTTTTTAATCGTTTTTTTTTCCATTTTACTTTCGTTTTCTTCGTTTCTGTCAAAAGTTACAAAAAGAAAGTATCGTTGCCAATTGGTACGATCCTATTTGGTACCGTATCCCAATTCAGTTTAGAAGATTTAAGGGTATGTATTAGACCTAAATCCACAACCAAAATCAAATAGGGTTTAACATCCTACTTTTCTGCAACAACCACCTTCCAGGGAATTGTTCTGTAACAACCATCATTCAGTGAGGTTATATGGGAATTGTTCTGTAACAACCATCATTCATTAAGGTTATAAGAGAATTGTTCTGTAACATCCATCATTCAGTGTACTTTAATGGAAATGTTCTGCAACAACCATCATTCAGTGGGGCTATAATGGAATTGTTCTGTAACAACCATCATTCAGTGT